ATATATTACCTGAATTTTGAATAAATAAACCTTGGACCTGATTTTTAAAAAATTATCTTGAAACCCCTGATTTTTTGTACTCTCCCTTTGTTTAATCTTGAAATTTTCAATTATCTCGAAATATACCTTCATAGTTTCCTTTTGGAATATAGAATTGAGGCTTTACGATGAATGTTGAACACATTTTTAATCAAATTTTTTTTTTTTTTTTCATAAATTCCACTTGTTGTAGCTCCGATGATCAGTAGCTTCCCTACAAACATTATCAAAATTACACATATGAAATTGAGGCTTTAAGATGAATGTTGAACACATTTTCAATCAAATTTTATTTTATTTTTTTCGTAAATTCTACTCGTTGTGGCTCTGATGACCAGTGGCTTCCCTACAAACATAAAGGATGTTTTGATAACTAAATAGAAGAGAACAAGTCCCGACCTTAGACATTTGACCCAACTTCGGCATACATTGTAAATATTAGTTCAGTTGGAGTTGTATTTTCCTTTTCTATTGTAATAGTTTATTTCAGTAGTAAAATAGCTCTGATATTTGTAAATATTTAGTATGATTCTTCGTCATTTAAACGTCAACTCCTATCACTTAGGTTTTGCTTCCGCAAGTTATTATAGGGGGTATTAGTCATTCAAAAATCTTTCAAACTTATTGGTATTCACCCCCAGCACTAACCATTGTAATTTTCTGTTTTCATCAATTGTAATTTTCGCTTTCATTAATCAATGATCAATTTACTTTCAATACATCTAAATTCTTTGTTGCAAGCTTTCTACAAATTTTAATCAACTTTTCTTTCATCCCGAGACATTTGAGAAAAGGCTGAAGGTAGTCTAGCGATATAGACTACTGCCACACGGAGTCCCTATCTATGCTGAAAAGAAAGGCACCCCGTGAAAGTTGGTATCAGAGTTGCGACTCACGATCCTCGATAAAAGCTATGGATCTAATTACATCAAACACTACAGAAGTCCTAGATTCTTAAAAGAGAATCACGAAATAGGGCATGGATACGCTTGATGAGATAACTACTAGGTTGTGCTACGTCGTGGAAGGCCTCAAGGAAAAAATCGATGTCGTAGAGATGAAAATTCGGGAATTAAACATCCAACTAAATGAAAGTCGAAAAGCTTGCACAGCAATGACTAAAGTTGTTGCAATCATGCCTAATCTGCAAGATGAAATAGGAGCGTTGAGAGCTCAATTACAAGTACTTCAACGTGCAGTTAACAATGGGCAAGCCCCCGTACAAGAGTATGTTCCCAAGCTTAGAATTTCGAAAGCATATACCTATGAAAGGGCACTCGATGCAAAAGAAGTTGAGAACTTCTTGTTTGATATGGAATAATACTTTCTTGCGGTTTCGATCAAAAATGAAGCAAGAAAGGTTACAACAGCTACCATGTATCTTGGTAGAGATGCAAAACTATGGTGGCAGATAAAATATGTTGATATTTAGGCCAACGGGGTCTGAATAGATCCTTGAGATCTCCTCAAGAAATCGACTAGATTGCAATTTTTCCCATAAAATGTGGAATATCAAGCACGACGGGCACTACGAGAACTGAAACATACAAACTCCATCAGGGAGTACGTGAAAACCTTTTCTGGACATATTCTGAATATTTGAGATATGTCAAAAAATGATAAGCTATTTACCTTCATGGAATGATTGAAACCATGGACACGTACGGAACTTTAGAAACAAAAAGTTACTGATTTGAGGGCGGTCATGGGAGCCGTCGGATGTTTAAGTGATTATCAACATAGTCGAAAAAGATCGACCTTCAGGGAATAGTCAAGGTATCGGAGGTAGAAGCAGACCTTACAGACCCAGCTCAAACTCAAATGGGAGAGAGTGTTATTCTAATAATAAGAGAGAAGCCTATCAAGACACCCGTCAGAGTAACTTTCAAGGAAATTATCAAAACAGCTGTCAAGGAAACTAACGTAGCGGAAGATTATGGGAAAGATGAAAAACCTCACAAAGATGAGATAAAACTCA